CAAAACTATCGATCCCCACAAAAAAATTTACATCAGCGGCGACAATGTTAATCTATTCTCAGTAATAAAGGCCATCCGGGAATTATTAATTACCAAATATAACCTCACAAGAAATGATAATTCAACCGACCAAGAACAAAAATTAAAAAAAATTGAGGAGTGAGCCAGCAATAAATTGCCTAAATATATAATTGATTTACAAAAACAATTAGAAAATCAAGAAAGTGCAGTTAATGCGATTATTGACAAAGCCAATAAAATAAAAAAATTTAAGGATGAAATTTACCGATTAGCCATGGTTAACATTAATGAGGAGTTAAAAAAATATTTAAACTAATTATGTCAAAAAAATATTTTATTGTTCAGAGCCACATGTGGAGACATCCCGAAAAAGATGCTCAAAAAAACCAAAATGTTTACCCACTTGCTAGTGAATTTTTATATAAGAAGAATGAACTTAAAAAGTTTAAATATATAAAAATTGTTAAACAAAAGGAGCAAGAAATCAAAAAGTTCCGCGAATCAAACACTTATATTTTTTCTATTCCAGAAGAACAAATAGAAATCGAAGAATGAACTCAGTCCGGAAAAGTTTATAATGCCCTTTCATTCGGAGATGATGTTGTTATTGGTGAACTAAAAGGAAAGAAAGACATACTTTTTTCTTATAATTCATGTAAATATCCTTCTTCTATTGATAATTATCTTACTTTTGAAGGAGGAATAGTAATAAAAACAGTAGGGGAAGAGTGGGTTTTTCCTACTATTAATGAAATTACAATTTTATTTCCAAATCGTGAAGAAAGAGATAAAAAATACCAAGAGTTTGAAAACAAAACGCGTTGCTTTGTTGAAGGAGTTGATTGGGAAAAAGTCTGAATGAGTTCCAAAGATTTGGGAATAAGAGAATTTGGTAAAATAGGAGAAGCATTTGCGGAGGCAGAAGAAACAACACCGCCTCCAAAAAAACCAGAGCCAACCACAGAAACACACGCAACGGAAACGGGAGAGACCGGAGACACACCACAAACGGAAACAACTGGGAATTCAGGGCAAATGCCAGAACAAAACACAACGCCCCCTCCTAAACCTATTAGCGTTTATGATTATTTCGAAGCAAAGTTGGCAGACGAAGACCAAGATTTGTGAACATTAGTTAACCGGTATATTCCTGGTAGCAGCAAAGATGAAAAAAAGATGTTTTTCTTGTCGTTAATAAAAAGTGGGCTTGTAAATGAAGACCACATAGACAGCCAACGGAAATTCATTAAATATGAATTTCTTAAAAACAAACTTGAAGAAATTTATCCTCAAAAAAAAGGCTCTCCAAGTGACGGTTCTCTTCCTAGTGAAGATGGGCTTGCTCAGACTAAAAAAAATGCTATTCAAACCATCACTGCTGCTCTAAACCTAGAACCTGCCGTAAAAGAAAGCGAGTTAAGTTCTGAATTTCAAGGCTGAAATGAAAAAATAAATAATTTGAATAAGGAGGAAATTATTAATGATTTGGTAAAAAAAATGTTGTCGGCTATTGGAAGTAAACGAAGAGAAAAACAGACTAGTCAAAAAGTAAATGAGGATGTAAATGATATGAAAAATAAAACTGGCGAGGAGTTAAATGAGAAAATAAAAGAAAATGATGAAGCATCCGATACCAGAGCCTACGAAGAAAAGAAAGAGGAAATTCAAACTCAAAAAAAACGGTCTGCTTTGGAAGACCCTGACAAATATCGTCGGAATGTTGCTATTCCAGGAATTAAGGAGACAATGGCAAAAAACGATATTAAAGAAGACGAGTTAGATGATGAGACAAAAAGAAATTGAGAAAAATTAAAAAATGGAGAAATTCAAGGTGAAGAGATAGTGGAAAAAGAAATTAAAATTAAAGAATCCATTAGTCGGCAAGGAGCCGAGAAAAAAGTTAATTTTTTTAGAAATGAAGTAGAAATAGCCTTAAAATCAGGTAAAAAAGAAAGGATAGAAAAACTTAAAATACAAATGATAGAATTTATTAATGCTGATAATGTATTCTATGAAAGCAAAAAAAGTGAGGTTCGTTCCTTATTATCTAAATTAGATAATTATGAGCAGCAGAAAAATAATTCACTGGAAAAATTTCCTTGAAAAGTGGTTGTTCCTGTTTCGTTGTTAGCAGTAATGTTGATAATAGTTGTTTTGGTAGTAATTAGAAAAAGAAAAAGAATTAGCCAAATTACGAAAACAAAAACCAAAACGACTAACTAATACTGAAAAAAATAATAGCAAATTAAATTGAATCATTGTCTTGGAATTGCTACTAGTTTTTATTTATAGCAATTATATACAATTTTACACCAATTATTTCTCCTTTTCGTTTTTGGGTGGAGGAATTTTCAATTAATCAAAATGAAAAATAGACGTTTTCATTTATTTTCTTAAAAGATAATTTTAATTTTAAACTTATTTATTTCCACCAGTGCCATTATAACCCTTACCAAACGAACTAAATTCCTCAATTTTTCGTTTTTCTAAGACATCTAATTCATCCTTTGTTTGACAAAAATAAAATTTATAATAAAAGCAATCATTAGCATATCAATCTCTCGCAAATATAACATTTCTAACTTCGCCATTTGAAAAATGTTGATTTAATCTTCTACCTAAGTCTTTAGACTGCCCTACATAATGTTTATCTTTGGTTTTATTTCATATAATATAAACTCCTTTTTTATCATTAAGATAAGAAAAAGCAAAGTTAGAAGAATGTTTTATTTCCCTTCAACCATCATCAGTTTCTTTATATGGTTTTATCTCTTCTTTTTTTATTTTTCAATATAAATTTCAATTAAGCGAAATAATATTATCTAATTTTTCATTAAACGATGGTATTTCTTTTCAAAGAAGAGAATTTTCTTGATCAATTTTTATTTTATGGTTTTCATTCCACTCCCTATTATTTTTATTAATTTTTTTATTTAGTAAAGCATTTTTTTTACTATTATAGCCGATAAATGAAAAACCAAGAGTAAAAGGAGCAAGAATTAGACGCAATCAAAAGTTACTTGGTTTTTCATTAAAATCTGTTAGTTTAAATGAATAATGTTTTTTTTCATTGTGATAATTACGCTTACGTCGTTTTGTAGTATTTATTACATTTAAAATCTCTTCTAATTTTATTTCTTTTTTTCGTCA